GCCTTATCGGGATCTTGAACGTAAGAAGCCCTCTGCCTGAATCCATGCTATAGTGGTTACTAAATGCCTTGTTTTCGTTTTCTTAAGAAACCGGATCCTGTTTCTACGAAGAAAATGTCCATCATCACCTTGACGAGGATCTTCCACCTGACCTACCAATACCCGACCCTCGTCCGCGAGATCACAACGCCGTCTCTGCCTGGCTTCATCACCGCTGCCTTGAACTTGATTTCGATCAAGCCATCCTCTGAGCCTACTCGGAAGCTGAAGCCCAATACCCCTTTCGTGGACATTGTACTCAATGCATTCGCGGAGCTGATTGCAAGACACCCGACAATTTTCCGACCCTTTACGGCGCAGATTCACAGTGTCCTCCAGGCCATCATTGGCTCGACTGAGCCCACGTATTCCGAGTCAGTCCTGGAGATTGCGCAGCAGCTGTTCGTCTCTCTGCACAACTGCGCCCCGAAGAACACATCCGGCGAAGAATGGAAGAACGCCTGCCGGATGACTATTGCCTCTATTCATGCAACGTCCTCTTATGTCTTGAGAGCAGTCGTGGAACAGTGGGAGTCGGTCGACCCAGCGTTGCGCCAACTATCCATGCCGCAGAACTACAGCCAGGAGGTAGGAAACGGGCCTGACGCATTGGGCTTGAGTAGCTGGCAGGGCCTGCCTGCTGGTGTGAGTCGGCTCGTCGTGCTTTTGCGCATGCTTTCCAAATATCTGGATACCGCCACAGCATCCACCGTCATTATTCCCCTGGGTTCGATCTTGGATCTTTGCGCACGCCTAAATATGGTGACGTACCCGTCTGACGGCGAAATCCAAGCCAATCAGCAGATTGGCCGAGCTGAAAGAGAGGACCTGCTTACGGAGCTGCCTCGCATCCATGCAGCTTGTCTCGGGCTACTCGTTGATCTTGTCAAGGCATTCGGAACGGCTGTCATCCCGGTGGCACAGACAATCTTGGAGCAAGCTCTTTGGGTGTTCCGTGCTGAAAAGTTCAGTCGGGAAGTCCGCACTGCCGTGTATGATCTTGTGCGTGTCTTGCTACCCCACATGGGTCCATGCATGACCAAGCAAGGTGTCTCTTCTTTGACAGCAGTGCTTCGGTCCTGCTGCCACGACTTGTTGCCCCCTCCGAGTAACCAAGCTGCGGCTACAGAGAAGCCTGACCCCAAGTCGAAGTCGAAGTCCAGCCAGGCTACCGTGAACGCGGACTCTTTCCTGAACCCTGGATTGAAGCCCGGACGTCAGCTGAGCAGCTCTCCAACATTTGCAAACCTCAAACAGGCCTCATCTGAACTGCTCGTGGCTGTCCTGTCGCACACCTCGACCGAGCTCATCACCCCAGCCCTGCGCGCGGAGATCGACCGAACCATCATTATGACCTCCGACAAGAACGCAATGTTGGCTAGTGTTCTCAATCCCTTCGCTAACATGCAAGGCCGTGGCGTAGGCACGAGTATCATGCCATTCCTGGCGCGCAGCTATCCCAACGATATGGAAGTGGAAGCTCTCATTCGCCCGCGTATGCCCGTTTTGATGAACGGCGGCCCCGGCGCCAATGGCTACAGCGTAGCCGTTGATGACGACGACGAAGAAGAAGAGACGGACGCTGTGCTCGCGCCCCAAGCACCCACGGAAACGAGCGGCTTCCTCAAGCCCTCTGCCACCCCTAGTCTTCACCAGGATATGATGGACATTGAGATGACTCCTTCATCTTCCAGCCCCTCCCTGAACAAGCGAAGTTATGCACAGGAAACGGAGGTGCAGAGTCCCGCACCTGCCATCGCGACGGAAGGCGCGCAGAGCAAGAAGGTCCGGGTTGAGTCTGAAGAAATCAAGGCTCCTGCCCAGCCTTCGCTGGGTGCCGCGTCGCCTGCTACATTCACAGGCACGGCCGCTATATCTGTTCCTGCTTCTTCCATAACGGCGACTGCTGCGCCTAAGCCCGTTGTTTCGTTGACGGGACCGTCGGCTTCAAGCTCGGCCACGGCGCCCCAGCCGCGTGCCGTTGCGGCCGCAGCCGAGACAGCGGGTGATGATGACAGTGACGATGAAATGCCGACCCTGAACATCGATCCGGATACGGATGACGAGGAGGAGGATGAGTAAACGAAGGAAGTAGCAATATTAGTTAGCGCATTGAAAAGCTTTGTGGATAGGTCACTGCACGTTCGAGAGATACCAAAAAGAATTTTGTTTCCGGTTCAGTCTGGTTGCCCGTAGCCGTACGGACGTCAATTGCGTATGCTTGTCTGCTGTTTGTCTGCTGCAAACGAGTGAGGAGAGTTTGACTTGACGAGAAGCCCGAATAATCGAGCCAAGTTCTAACGTCCTCGGTTCTCAGTCTTCAACTAGCTCTAAATCTATATATTCTATCTAGAACTACCATGTACACCAACCAACTAGCCAATTTCTTCAGAACATTATCCAAAATCTAGAAGCTACACCACCCGCACCCCTCGGCCCCAATACGTCCCATCATCCCAATACCGAAACCAAGGGGAAGACCAACACCACCACCCGCTATCTTCCTCTCGCACCCCGATCCCCAAACCCCGCAGCGGACTAACCGGCAACGGCTCCGTTAACCACAATCCGCCCCTCGCGAAATCATCCGCAATAACCGGTGCCGTGAGGTACAACCACCCGACCGCGAAGACGAGATTCGCGGCGCGCCGGGACCCCCGGGGCAGGGGGTGCTTCGCGCCCACCAGCCGCGGCACGAGGACGTGGGCGCCGACGCCCTGCACGATGAACCCCACGGCCTGGAGGAGAAAGAACCGCAACGGGCCGCGCGCGGGGCTCGTCTCCACGATCTGCGCGTAGCTGCCGCACGAGTGCACCAGGCCGCTGAGTCCAAAGGCGACGAAAGTGTAGACCAGCTGCCGGACGGCGGGGCGGGAGGCGGTGTCTGCGGGCAGGAGGGCGATGAGCCAGCGGCCCGTGGAGGTGAAGCCGACGCGGAAGAGTTGGTGCCACCATCTGCTCCAGCAGCCGATGAGGCCGTGGTCGAGGATGGAGGGAAGGAAGGGGCCGAAAGTATCGCCGTACAGCCAGGGCGCGTCGAGGGGCACGGCGGTCACGGCGCGTGTCGCGTGGGGAAAGGCGAGGGCCAGGCCACCGAAGATGAGGGGGTTGAAGGAGGTCACGAAGGCTAACGCGGCGTGGATGCCGAAGCCCGTCACCGCCAGACGGTAGAACCGGACCAGGCCGGGGACGGCGGCGAGCGAGTTGAACGGGTAGGGCGGTGCCAGAGCCATGTTCCCGTTGTACATGAAGTACGTGTCGCGGATCATGAGCAGCTTAATCAGATCCAGGGAGAGGTAGGATTTGATGCAGAGCATCAGGGCCGAGCGCACACGGGCCCTGATGGCAGCAGTATCCGCTCTGATTTCCTCCTCTGCTTGTCCCTTCTCGTCCGTGAGGAAGGACGGATCTTCGGCTTTCAGCTGGGCGTGGACTGAGGAGGGCAAGGGGCCGAGGGACGAGATGCGCCAGTTCCACTCCGGTCCCCGCATGCCGAATAACAAGCTTAGGACCCAACTCAAGCGCTGCGACAGTGACTGCGGATACGACTGCCATACCAGCCTTTCGACCTTGGGCCGGTGCGCGTGCTCTGTGGCGGCCGTCCTGTCCCTCTGCGTGGCAGACCGTTCCTTTGCCGACGGGGGTTCGCAGACCGTCGTCCTTACAATCCGTTGACATTCGCGCTCGGCGTTCCTGTACGCCAGCCAGACGGCGCACCAGATGAGCCACCATGCTGGCAGCAAGCCGCCCATATACCCGTAGCCTCCCAGGAGCATGCGTCGGTGGCGCAGAAAGTGGACGACAGTGCCGAAAACGCAAGCCAGTACGAAAAGCTGCACATAGCGGCCGCCCTTGCGCCGCGGAATTAGGAGCGCCGGCACAGGAAGCAAGAGAAGGGCAATCAGTTGCCATAAGAAAACCGGCTTTGCCTCGCCATTCTGGATGAGTGATTCGTACTGAGTATGGTAGTCTTCGACGAGTTGGCGGTAGAAAGGTATGGGAGGGGTGGCGGCCATAGGAGGATCAAGTCGCCTAGAAGCGACAACCACGAGATAAGATGTACTGTATATCTATACGCTGTGTATAGTGTCTTGAACAAGTGAGACTGAGTTATATGTTCAGTTCGAGGTTGAAAGCTGTTCAGTAATCTGATAATCGACACTGCCTCAGATTCATGCCTGAACAGGAAGCGGTGGATGGTAAGCAACAACGGCAAGAGTGGTGGGACTGCTGAACCCCACAAGGTATGTGCCAGAGTATGTACTGTATATATCGTAGAAATGTAAATCAAGATGTATAGGAAAATGGTTATACTATGAATCCATGGTCAAAAAATGCCATGGGGACAGCGATTCCGTAGGTAAGTGGTGGGATCGACTCGCGGGGGCAAAGGGACTGAAAAAAGGCGGATCCCTCAATAGTTCGTCACCGAATTACGAGGTGGGCGGTGATTGATTCGCCAACGCAAGGGGTTTTGACTCGGTCCCTGTCTTTCTCTTCGATTCCTTCGATTTGCTTTTTTTTTTTTTCCTGGGCATTTTCCATGCATTTAGAAGCATCGTGACCCCTCCCCCTTGTTGAATGCCCACTCCTTGCTATCTGCCAACTGTGCGTTATGCGGAGTAGACAAGCTGCCAAACGAAGGTTAGCGATATGCGGAATGTTATGCAGATTTGGCATATCTGAGTGAATCTTATCTTTCCAGTTCATGATTGGTTTTTGCCACGTTCATCGCCGTACTTTGTACTGTGGTTCTGTTGATAGACTGACATCATGTTCTCAAAACTGGCAACTGGCGGGAGTCCGGGGAAATGTCACATGCCAAAATGTCACATGGGCGTGTATCTTCCCGCGTCATCGAAGCGAGAGATCCATCGCTGTCATTGATCAATTCGACTACACTACTGTACTGTACAGTAACATCAGCACCTTATTTCGAAACATCGACCACGGGAAGATCCTCCGGCGCTTGGCCCGGTACCAGTCCTTATCATGGGTCTTCAACCGGAGAAGCGAGGCATCGAGTATACTGACTTCGCCGATAGCAACCCGTATGCGCGTTTCAAGTCGGCGCGTACCAGCTACGGGCAGCGCTTTGGTGAGGAAACAGCCTATGTACCTCTAGACCAAGCATCGCAATCCTTCCCAGGGAACGAAGAGGATGATGATGATGATGCCCAGGCTGCCGATCTGGTTCAAAGCAGTCAAGATGTAGAGGAATCCGGTTCATTGCTGCATTACGGCGACCTAAACACGAAGATTGTGGGCGTGCGCTACTACAGAGGGCATGCCACCATTGGGGAGCATGTCATCATCAAACGAGAGCCTTCGAATCAGTACGATAGAAACGCGATTCGAGTCGATAACGTGATGGGCAACCAGATTGGTCATATTCCGAGAACCATGGCAGCCAAGTTGGCAAAGTATCTGGTACGCCGCCCAAAGTACTGTGCACGCGAGTGTAGTTACGGCGTTCGCGGTCTGCTAAACTTCGCATATAGGATGAGCGGTCTTTGCTCGTTGAAGGCATGCTGACAGGTGTCATTGGCGCTTATGACTGTCCCGTCGTGCTGAGACTCTATGGCACGGCTAACCCTGAGCTCAAACGCGCTCTCAAAAACAGCATGGAAGCGGACAGGCTGCCTCTGAATGCCATTAGACAAAGAGAGCGTGAGGATGCTAAACGACAGAAGGAGCGTGAGAAGGCCGAGAAGCAAGCGGCCAAGCTGGCTCGTGCCATGGCAAAGAGCAGAAAGGATGAGGAGTGGCAGCTTTCAAGTAATATGGGCTACTCAAATCTCTACTCCGGGGAAGGTGACCTGGATCTTGAGAACCAGGAAAGCCTTGAAGAGCTCATTGGACAAAGCAGTACCTTCAACCCTCGCGATATCGGCCAAGTGAATGAAGATTTTGGCATCAAAGAAGCTGATTTAGAAATGATGCCCATGGCCGAAGATCCAGATGCTCTCGCGACACAGCTTCTACCGTATCAGCGCCAGGGGTTGGCTTGGATGATTGCTCAGGAGAACCCGGTACTTCCTGCAGCTGGTTCTGCGGAGGTTGTGCAGTTGTGGAAGAGAAATGGCAACAAATTCACCAACATCGCTACCAATTACTCTACCTCACAGGCGCCGCCTCTGGCTAGTGGTGGTATCCTGGCCGATGACATGGGTCTTGGCAAAACGATTCAGATCATCGCTTTGATCCTCGCAAACCCCCAGCCCAAGACTCCAGCCTCTTCTAAGACCACCTTGATCATCTCGCCAGTAGGTGTGATGAGCAACTGGAAGAACCAAGCACAGGATCACACTCATAGCGACCGAGCCCCTAAGGTGCATGTCTATCATGGACAAGGGAAGAAGGAGGCCGCCAATCTCGATCAGTATGATATTGTCATCACAAGCTATGGCGCTTTGGCTATGGAGTACAACCCGAACGCCAAAGTGCCTCCGAAGAAAGGGCTATTCTCGCTCCAATGGCGTCGTGTGGTTCTTGACGAGGGACATACAATTCGCAATCCACGATCTAAAGGTTCTATCGCAGCTTGTAACCTGAGGGCAGACTCGCGCTGGACGCTTACAGGAACCCCTATCGTGAACGCTCTCAAGGACCTTTACTCTCAAGTTCGCTTTCTCCGACTCACCGGTGGCCTCGAGGACATGTCTGTGTTCAACAGCGTTCTCGTTCGGCCTCTTATGTCAGAAGATCCCAATTCTCGTTTGCTACTACAGGCTCTGATGAGCACCCTCTGCTTGCGTCGTCGGAAGGACATGAACTTCGTGAATTTGCGGCTTCCTCCGCTCACGTCTCGAGTCCTACGTATCAAATTCCATCCGCATGAGCAAGAGAAATATGATATGTTCCAGTAAGTTCCACTGGCGGGCTTCCTTTCCCAGTGTCTCCGGTTCACTAACAATTTTCAGATCCGAGGCGCAAGGCATGCTCATAGATTTCAAATCCAAAGACAAAGGTGGCGCCACATATTCTCACCTTCTCGAAGTCATCCTCCGTCTGCGACAAGTCTGCAACCACTGGGCACTTTGCAAGAACCGCATTGACAAGCTAGCGGAGTTCCTCGAGAAGAACAAGATTGTTCCGTTGACTCCGGAGAACATCAAAGCGCTTCAAGACATCCTACAAATCCGCATTGAAAGTCAGGATTCCTGCCCCATCTGCCTCGACCCCATACAGCAGGAACAACCCGTGATCACCACCTGCGCGCACGCCTTTTGTCGGAAGTGCATCGAAGAAGTGATCGACCGCCAACACAAGTGCCCCATGTGTCGCGCCGACATCGAAGACACAACCACGCTCGTCTCCCCGGCCGCGGAAATGGGTGAGAGCACGGACACCGTCGTCGCCGACCCCGACAACCCCAGCAGCAAGATCGAGGCCCTGGTCAAGATCCTAACCGCGAAGGGCCAAACTGCCGACACCAAGACCGTCGTCTTCAGCCAGTGGACCTCGTTCCTGGATCTGGTGGAGCCCCACCTCCAACGCCACGGGATCGGCTTCGCGCGCATCGACGGCAAGATGAACTCCCTCGCCCGCGACAACTCCACAACCCGCTTCTCCACCGACCCCGAATGCACCGTCCTGCTCGCCAGTCTGAGCGTCTGCAGCGTCGGTCTGAACCTTGTTGCCGCCAACCAGGCCATCCTCGCCGACAGTTGGTGGGCGCCTGCCATCGAAGACCAGGCCGTGGACCGTGTCTACCGGCTGGGTCAGAAGCGTGAGACCACGGTCTGGCGGCTCGTCATGGAGGACAGTATCGAGGACCGTGTGCTGGCGATCCAGGACACGAAGCGTAAGCTGATGCTGGCGGCGTTCCGTGAGACGTCCACGAAGAAGAAGCTCGATGATAAGGCCACCAGGGTGTCGGACTTGGAGTCGCTTCTGAAGTCGTGAAAGGGTGTTATACTGTACTGCCACATGACTGTTCAAGACTCAGTGCTCTGCCGCGGAATAGAGGATTGTAGGTAACCATATCCGGTTTCCGTGTAGCCTGTTAGTGTTATTATTAGCCAGCCAGCTTTGCGGACTTACCTTTGGGGATTCTTAAAAATATTACCATGAGTTGTGATGCATCACTGTTCTTTGTTGCTTGTGTACGACCAAAGCACTACATCTACAGTGGGTCTTCTACGCACCTTCCGAACACGCGCGTTATCCACCAACCACGTATGCCAGCAATATTACTAGGTCAACAGAACGTTCCATTTTTGATCGAAGAAACGTACAAAACTAACAAGATCAGCCAATCTTCAGTCTACTCTATATATTTCTATCTGGGAATCAACAAAAGTATCTACAGATTGTGAGAATTGCCCTAGTCAATTCAATGCTGCGAAGAAGTCGATACGTAGCTTTAAGGTATAAGACTTCTACAAGGGCATTTCAAGAGACCTCGCTGTCTTATTGCTATTGCTTGAATATATGCCCAGAAAGGCCTCGCTGGCTTCCCTGGTCAAAAAAAAAAAAAAAGCTTAATATGCTTGTTCACTCAGGGACACGTCGCGAAATTACTATTTTCAAAGGTATTTTAGACCTTAGATGATTCGACTTATGGAAACCCCACAATCAACATAGCCATTATGATTTTTCATTGCATATCAATAACCATCAATCCATTTCAAGGTTATGTTTTCATTTATCATTACCATCCTGTACGACCATCACAAAAAAAGGAAACAGCGACCTGAATACGAGCCGTGTTTGATGCAAATGCAAATGCAGACGTCGATGCAGATGCAGATGTGGAGACAATCTGTAGAAAGACATAAGAAAACCCCCAACAATCACTATGTTCTACCATCTCATACGTAACAGTCTCAACGCGCCCAACCAACCGTGAAATGGTATCATTAATCGTTCGTTGAATAGAAGCAAGAAGGAAAGGAGTGTTGAGAGGAAGCTATAACCGCAACGCCGAGAAGTAGTACAAAAAGAGCAACTCGACTCCAGTCGGCTCCACTCGACCCCATTCGCTCCGGAAATTGTTAACAAGGGGCAGCGGTGGCAGGTAATGTACAAAGCCCCGGGAAAAGATTTGTGCTGTGAAGTGCATCAAAGTGACAGCGTTAAAGGGAAAGGGAAATAGACAGAGTTCTCCATCCTGTCCTAAAGAAATGGAACGGAGGTACTTGTCGTGAGGGATATCGTAGAAGTATGTGCAACTGCATGGAAAGAGAAAATCTTGATTCACTAGAAGCTCGAATCAGAAGACAGGTAGGAGAGAATCGGAATCCCTTCTTCGTCATGGGTCCTCCGGGTGGTGCTTCACTGGGTCTTGCAGGCGGCCTTTTTCCCAGGCTTACTGGATGGGGGTTCCTGCTGTGGAGTCGAAGCGTTCTGGAAAAATGGAGAGATAACCTGCTGCTGTCCGACAGTAGGATTGCTGTCGTTTCAGGTGCTCTCAGTGCTGATCTGCTGCAATCCTGACACTGGCGTAGGGGGCAGAGGCTGCGGGGACGGTGGAGAGTATTCTTCCTCACTTTCTACCGTGTCCATTTGCACGGGGAGAATGATAGAAGGATCGATGGGTGGCTGGGAGTATCCACCGTCCTTCTGCATTCCGGTTGCTTGCTTTGGTACAGCGGTAAAATGATTCGCGAACGGTGGGGCGTATCCAGCATCACCGTTGCCTACGATGGGGCCGTCTTGCATAGTAACCGAGTGTGGCGTCGCTGGCTGTGAGTAAGGCTGAGATGCTATCGGACTGGGCTGCGGCGGCGAAGGCTGTATATGGTTGTACACCGGGCCTGGTAACTGAAAGTGGCTCAAGTCAGGGGCGAGCGCAGGAGGACCGAAATTGTGAACGGTAGGTGGAACCATTGACTGGGATGGCAGAGGCTGAGGCATCGGTGGCGGGTGCTGCGAGTACGTATATTGATATGGAAGGGGAGCCCCAGACATAGGCATCAAAGAGGGCTGGGCGAGGGGCTGAGAATACGAGCCATAGGGCATAATGACGGTTGAGAGCCTTTGTTTTTCTCTCATTCGTTCTTGCCAAGCAGCCGGATCTTCGCGTTTGAGGCGTTCGTCGGTGATGACCTCCAGAGCCTCCCGCTTTTCTTCCTCAGTCAACTTGTCATTGTCCTCTTTCTGGAAGGTTTCAGTCAAGCCGATTTTCCGAATGATGCTTTCACTCGAGCGTGCGTCTTTCTCGAGGATTTTATCCAACACCCCAGGATCCTTCCCGATGTGCTCGGAGACGTCTGTTTGTGGCACATTCTTGACCGGGAATAGGTATTCGCCAAGCTTCTTTGACGCCCAGCGGACTGGATTTTTCTTGTCAACAACGCGGAATGCAAGCTGGGTTTTGTAGACCGCTTTATTGTACATGACCTCCTCAAATGTGCCGCCCGAGAGAAATCGGTATACAAAGACCGGCTTTTTCTGACCAAGACGGTACGCCCGCCCGACGGCTTGCTCTTCCCAGACCGGGTTGAAGGTGAAGTCAAAGATTATCACACGATTTGCGCCAGGGATATTGAGACCAAGCCCTCCCGCGCGAGTCGAGATCAGATAAATGAGATCGGAAGAATTTCCATTGAACCGCTTAACTGCGCCCTGTCGCTGAGAGACCGGTGTTTGCCCGTCTAGACGGCAGTATCTCCAGCCTGCCCTCTTGAGGATGACTTCGACATAGTTAAGTGTCGGGATACTATGTGAGAACACCAACACTTTGTCACCAACACGTACAGATTCGGCGATGATCTTGTGCAGAATCCGGGCTCGATGAGACAATTCGATAGCTTCGATGTCGGGCACGGCAGAGTAAATTTGTTCCTGTTCATTCTGTAACTTTGTCAAATCAAGACCCAATTGCGAAATAGGCTCGTCACCCGGGGCTTTCTCAAATCCCTCCAGCCTCTTGTCGATCTTCTGAGCATCATTGAATCGGCTTTGGAGCTTATCCCTGAAGCACACCGGGTGATTGCAGCAGAGCCCGAGAACCGCGAGCCAGGACAGAATCTCCATTCGATTAACGTCGCATCTCCCTTCCAAGATCGACCGCACATACGAGTTGTAAGCTGCCTGTTGTACGTCCGTCAGAGGCACAGTGATGACAAATTCAACCTTTGGAGGCAAGCTTCCAGCAAGAACAGAGATATCTGCGCGATTGATTTTGGGCTCGAGGATTTCTTTGAGTACGTTAAGCCTCACAAGAGACCTGCGGCGCTCAGTGTACGTGCTGTCAACATACAGACCCTCCTCAATGGGCTCAACATAGTGTGCCTGGAACTCGCGTGGTTCACCCAAGTAGCCCTCTGCGATCCAATTCACCATAGCATAGTAATCTGTGAGATTGTTGGCGAGTGGGGAGCCGGTCAAGGCGATGCGACTTTTGGTCTTGATTTGCATTGCTGCTAGGGCAACTGCCGAAGACGAGTTTTTCATTCTGTGCGCTTCATCGGCAACGACTACGTTAGGACCATCAAGAAGCCACCTCTTTACGTTCTCATGGTCTGCATCCGGCAATGGTTTTGACCTCTTCGAGGTTTCCCTGTTCATAATCCAAGCGCGGAACATGTCATAACTCAAAATGAGTATTCCACCTCCTTCATACCACTCTTGGATCGTTCCAAGCCTCTCATACAGTGATTCACTGCTTGTGACCTTATAAAAGGGTCCAATTTCAACAGTAGGAGGAGTCCACAAGTAGAATTCGTCCTGCCAGTTTTCGGTCAACGACGACGGGCAAAGTACCAATGTCTGAGAACGACGAAACCTCTCCGGTACTTGTTTCTTGATTTCAGGATTGAGGGACTTAGAAGCGGCGGAGATAGTCACCAGAAGTGATATGACCTGCATTGTCTTGCCCAAGCCCATTGTGTGGGCCAGCAAACAACCCTGATGAGTCTCATCGACTATCAGTTCTCGCCACATGAATTGAATTCCTTTCAGCTGATGAGGTTTCACTCGCCGCGCGATGGCCTGATGCAGGTGAATTGGTGGATCCCCAAAGCTGACAACTTGATTCGTATGGTCGGTATTGGCTGCTCCCATGCTCTCCATGTACAGCTTTGCGGAGTTCTCCTGCATTGCAACACGGCGTTGCGCATTCTCTCGTGCCTTTCTAGCAGCTTCGCTCTCTTGGACGGCTCGTTTTCTGGACCTATGGGGTGTGTCGTTGACATCGCTATGCCCAAACCCATTGCTTCGTTCCCAATCGCAGTATGCTGCCAGATGGTAGGATAGCTCCTGATAGAATTCCCCATAGCCTTCAACTTCCCGTAACGCTCTACGAACCTTGTTTCTAGGAATCCCCTTGGCCGTGAGCCGAGAACAGGTGACCCAGGAAATGTAGAAGGACGAAGCGCGCATGACGAGCATACTCTCTGTATATTCCAAGTCAGGCAATCGGTCTTGGCTCTGAAGCATCAACTCCAACGCTCGCACAGTGAGCTCTCGAAGATCCGCTTCCTCATATCTGCTGGGTATGCGCTCGGCCATCTGGGATCGGTCCTTGGGAGCAAGGTTGGCAATCAGCTTGACGAGAAGACGACGCGGATCTCGACGCTCCTCCAACAAGCTGGTGTCCAGTTTTTTGAGTGCTTCATAGTCATCCATGTCAGGCAGAGAAATGGATCTTCTTCTCTGCGACCCCTCTCTTTTTATAGCGAAGTCAGGACCGAGGTCTGAAACAGGGGACATGTTCTCGTATAGAGCGGGATCAACCTGCGGCACCTCAACCTGCACTGGATTCAGAGGTGGTGTCGCGATATCATAGTCATCTGGGTGTGGTGTGTCATCTGTAAGGTCAATGACTTTCGGTGTCTCATCATTGGTTACGACAGGCGTTGAGTCTGGTGAACTTGAAACGGCAAATGGATATCTTCGAGATCTCACCCTCCGTATAGTCCCAGAAACACTGATTATATCTCCTTCCTCATCAGAAGATGAAGAATGGTGCGTCGCACCATCTGGTTGACAAACTCGTTGAAAAGGTGGTGGTGGAACTCCAGAGTCATCGATGAAATCGTCGGAGTCCGAGTCAAGCGATTCAGCATCATCGCTTCTGTTACTGCGCCAATTTATGAATGTTGGTAGCTTCGGGGGAGGAGCCACCTTCAGTGGGCAGCTCTCGAGTCCTATCACATGAATATGATATTTGTGCTTCTGCATTCTGAAGATCGTCTGTTGTAGAGCTTGACATTGGGTTTGTAGCTCGGATTCCGAAGAGTAATCAACTTGCTTTATTGCTTCTTTCAATTTATGCAAGCGACCTTCCAGCTTTTTGAGTGAGCGTGTAAGTTCTTTGATTTGCTGGTTACGGCTGTTGCTCCTTTTAGCTGCCATCCATTTCGCCCATGCCTTGGTTTCTTCTTTAGGCTTATAGATTTTCTGCCACTCAGTCTCATATTTCAGTATGCATTTCTCAATGATAGACTCGACCGCATCGGGAGTAAGCTTGGCTCGTTTGGCAATCACAGGGGCTCGGGACTCCTCGTCAATCTCTCGCCAAGTCTCCTCATCGTAGTCACCCTCAGACCCTGAGTCTCCGTACAACGGAAATGCATCCTGACCATCTTCTTGAGCAGGGTACTTTTCCAGAAGCCATGCATATGGGTCAGAGGTCTTTGGTGGTTCAGAACCGTTCGAGCTCTTAGAACTCTCAAGTTGTGGCCAGTCTCGGAAATCTTGCTTACTCACTGCAACGTGGCCACCTTTGGAGGTATAAAGAGTAAAAAATCTTTGGCCTGCTTCCCCTCTGATTGGATTGTAGGGAACCACAGCCTGCTTGGTTGGGCCCAGTCGCACAGGATCTTGGCGATAAAAGTGAGATAGGCATTTGTTGACGAAGGCGCGCCTAGCTGGGGGGCATTGTGAGCCAAAGATACAGAACTCATCGTCTTCAGTCGCGGGACTTTGAGGATAGAACAACTTGGAGGGTGTGGTCGCGTCGGGTCCCATATACCATTGCCTGCTTGAAGATTGGCCGGCAGGTTTGACGGCAGGTTTGTTAGTCGCACTGTCAGCTTTGTTGTCGAGTTTGCTTAGATCAAGCTTGCGTCGTTTCTTCCCCTCTCTGTCAATGACCAATTGCTCACCAGGACGTGAACGCTTGTGAGACTCCTGTGATGATGCACGGACATTTGATTGAACAACGAGACTTACGCCATCTTCCTCGCCGTCATCATCTGATGTGTGTCCGTCCTCAGCAGTGATATGTTGCAACTGATCCTGAGGCTGTACCGATTTCACCGCTGGGATTGAAGCGCTAGGTGTGGGAGAGGAATGGACGCGGGGGGTCTGAAAAACATCTCGCTGAAGGGTCTCTATACGAGGCACTTGTGTATGGGATAGAGTTGCGGGGCTTGCGAACGTAGACTGACTAGTAGACCGAGTGTCATCGGGAACTTGGTTCCTGAAGGGAATCGTAGATAGCGTCGTAGATTGATGGTATTTGGAAGATTTCCGCTGCAGGTATCTAACAGCACTATGCATACTACTGCGGGGACCAAGGGCTCTTAGACCCAAGTCTTCTTTCAGGGAATGAATGTCAACATCGTGGAGAAGCACCTCCCCCGTGATCACATTGTCCCGCAGAGCGGCCTCGAAGGTGACAGGATCTGGTCGCGCGACAACCGACGAAGAGAGAGACCATGGCGCGTCAGGATTATGGCACAGAAACTGTACCACCTCGTCAACTGTCCAGTCGAGGGGATCCCCGCTAGGCTCCATTTCCATGGGTGATCTGCAGGCACAGTATTAGATTCGATGCCACGTGATCATCATGGTACTCGAGATGAAGCTACTTACTAACTCATGCACGTTGCCCAGAGCCAACGAAGCGAAAGGTTATCATGATTTTAGTAAACAATAGAGAGCTGTAAGAGATGATAGAAGGTGAGAAGTGGGCAAGAGTCTATATGGTGATAGGTAAAGGCGGGTTTGGAGATATCCGTCGGGCGATAAGATTGTGTATGAAGATGAAAGGTGAAAACGGAAGGCTATCGGATATGTGAAGTCGGGAACAACCGAGTCTGCTATAGTACTTGTATCGGTGAAAGGCTATTTATTTGTTCTTTAGCCCTGTGATCAGGAGAATGAAATGGTCGTACACCAGGGATTGAAAGTTATCTGGGACTTTGGTAAGGTTTTATGTAAAAGGCAAGTGGGAAATGTGTTATAAAAGAAACAAGATGGACAGGAACGCGTTAACTGCGTTGACTTGCCATCAAGGGACTTTCTTAATTCTACCGCTAGTAACAAGCGGTGTGGAAGGCGGAACAATAGGCTGATAAGAAATGGTGCAGTGGCTATACACAGTAACTTATCCGTGAACCGCATCTTATACTTCCTTTGCTTGATGGTCTATCATGCTAGCCTCATCCACATCTCGATAGATTTCAAATCATGCATAGGTCTTGGGGAAAGCACGGCCCTCAACTTGGCTATGTTGCATGGCTTCCAATTCACTCACTAAGCTTTGAGTCTATGGGGTCTACATAGTTCTGGGCAAGTATATGGTCTGCTCCGAGCCACGAAGTATATGGGATATGGTGGGCAGAGTACCAAGCTTGGTCCAGCCTCCTGTGCTAGTAGGAATACTCATATATCTCTACGTAATGCGCAAAAGACAAACAATTCTGTTGTAGAAACTTGGATGACCGCCTAGCTTGGTCTACCGTGTGCAACTTCCTCCTAGAGCGATTGACAGCTACACATCCACGAGCCATAGTTCTGCATGAACATCTATCTTTGCGATAACCTCACTACACTTCTTGAAGTCCATTGAAGCCTAAGGATATAATGACTATCAGTATACCAGCTCATTTCGGCTATCATGACATGCTTCCCGCAATGTTCACACAAGGCACCATGACCAAGTCAACTCAACCTCATTGAATCCTTTCCCATTACCATCTTCGTCACTCGATCTTCGTCACTCGCAACCTCGAGGCGATATCCAAGCGCAGGATCAAAGAACGGGGAGTTCATTTGAAAGCTCAGTGAGCCACACTATTAGTAAAATACGAAGATGTCCAGGTCACCTCACCCATAAAGACCATTTTTCATTGTGGAGAAAGAAGCTATCATGAGACAACTTTTGGGTGATTACACACTTTTCCTCTTTTCTCCTCTCCTCGAAACATTCATTGAAACTTCATCTCTTCAGCCCACCGGTTTTCCTTCCTTTTTCTTTTTTTTTCTTTTTCTTTTTCTTTTTTTTTTTTTTTTAGATAATTTCGCTATCTCATGAACCTTCGGAGCCCAAACAGAAGAAAACGAACAGACCGAACGCTAAAGACAGAAAATGGAAGACAGAATAGAAAGGTAGATGGTGCGTGCCGCGTGTTGGAGAAATATCTTGCCGATCTGCTATGAGAGCCAAGTCAGCGATATATGAATGAAGGATCTCTTGTTTAAAAATCATACTAACAATTCTCGAGTCCCCAGAAACTGAAGAAGCTGCTTGTATTCTTTCCAACCATCAAGACTGGCGTCAGATGTCAAACTCTCCATCGCCCATTTCCCGGTACAATGTACTCAGGCGCCACGGCTCACGGTCGTGATAGTCCTGCATGATCCTGTCAAAGAGGCTATCTGTAGGCTGAGCCTTTGACTCGAAGTCAAATGATTGCAAACCCAGAGCCCAGTCCTCAATGTCGACGATGCTCGAGACCTGCGCATCTGCAGTCAAATTACTGCCATCTGAAAGTGGTGCCCATCTGGCACGCAGCGCGATCTTCTCTTCTTCAAAGAGCGGCATTCCAAAAGATGCGAAGTAATCATCCGTCTGGTTCCACTGAAAGTCATCTTTGATATCTAACTCGGTATCATACGGATGGCATAAAGGCTCTAAGAAAAAAAAGGGTCGTTAGCTCAACGCTAGCAATGTGACCCCGAGACACGTCTGCGGTCAAAATGCAAAAACAAACAATGGCCAAGCCAAGCTCACCGATCCATGTATGCTCCTTCAGAACGAGCTCAGGAGCTTGCTTGGTGTTGGTAGCTGTTGAGACTGGGACTCCAGTCCTACGGATGTCCGATTTGTTCCTTTGCGAGTATTTTGGGATTTTCTTTGCCAGCTTCTTGCCTTGGTACAATGCGGGAAGGGGAATTCTGCCGCCAGCTTCTCCTAGAACTGGGTTGATCAAGCCGGGAGTGATCCCACGAGTGGTGTTCAGGCCAAGGCTGATGCCTTTAGCAACCAACTTCTGCTCGATTTCAGCACCTAGTTCAATGCTCTTCTTGTTTCCGGAGTCCCAGGCACACAGGAAAAACGCCTGACGGAATCGGCCGCCTCTCTGCTGGAGGGCGTTGGGTTTAACACTGTGACCCCTTGGCATTCTGTCAAGGATGTCGTCGAGTCGAATGCGGCGGTCCAGTCGGATCCAAGCCTCCACCCGAAACTCCTCAACATCCGTGGGGATTTGGTCAGGCAGAACAGGAATATCTCTCAAATACTTTCCATTGATTGGATATGCTTTCATTCCTATCTTGGACTTGCTCTTGGGCCCGACGGGATGGAGCTGATACAAGATGTCGGGGAGATTGTCCCATGACCAATCCTCTTGCTCAGGAAGGGTCTGATCTAACACAAAGCTTGCATCTTCGCAAGCAATCTGTGATGCTGATGCTGCTATTGTTGTTAGTGGCCAGTCTTGTCCGCAGGACCATGGACACACCTTGGTTGGCATGGTTGATTTCCTTGACGTTAAACGCCTGGCTTGTCCGCGGGACCACGGGCATACCTTGGTCGAGTCGGTTAATTTCTCTGACGTTGAATGTCTGGCTTGTCCGCAAGGCCATGGGAATACTTTGGTTGCTTTGGCTGTTTCTCTTGACGTTGAACGTCTGGCTTAAACCCAGTGGCACATCCATTCTGACGGGAGAGCTACTAAAGCCTAAGCACAAGCTGCTCAGCCGTGAGGGATGTCTGACAGAGAGAAAGTTCGAGTAAGAACAAGAGCAAGAAGGTGAGAACCTATGAGAACAGGGGGGCTAGATTGAAGCTGAATGACGTCAAGAGCGTTGACGAGAACAGAGTTGATATGAGATACGAAGACAGTCTTGATCGAGAATCGTTGAGAGTAGAGAGCAGACAAGAATGAAGATAGGTCTTCTGTGTTGGAGCACCTCTCTTTGGTGGCTCGTTGATGGGGGGCTGGGACTTGGGGCTTCAATTGGGTTAGATGTTTCAAAAGTCTCAATGAAAGGTGAATAGGGCTCTCTAGCTTGCTAGCGAAATGCGTTCGCTTCACTCGGAGCTTTTTGACAATGCGAAATCATTACCTGCGAATCTATTGACAATCACTGTACTGCTGGATAAAGCATGATTTGCACGTTCACCGAGGTGCTGATTCAGAGAAGGGTGTATTGCTATGAGAGCTATAATACAGAGAGGCGAGTATACAACTTTCCTTCTGCAGCGAAACCAGCGCAACGGGCGGTAGCCGTGAGGTATCAACCTCTTTCGAAAGCCTAACCATACACATGTTCTAACCAGGCCAAGCCCTGTGGAAACTTCTGGGGGGCTTCATGGCAATAGTTGAGTCTTTTGAGAATTCCACCTTGGCCAATCATATGACTCATTCGGGGCTGGTGAGCAAGCTTGTCAAAAGTCTCGACAATAGCTATAACCATCCAGTGATTTATTCTCCCTCTATAGACCCCGCATGTGGATCCAGATATAACGCACAGCCGGGGAAAACTTCAGACAATGAGCTTTGTACACGGGAGGTCTTTCTTTGTCCGAAGGGACCCACCCTGTAAAATCGAGTGGCTGGGTACTGCTCCTGTATTCGAAGACTATCCCACTCTCTTGTGCCTTTAGAACTTTGGAGTAGGTCTTGTGAGAAGTGCGGGAACCTAGCTAACCTGCAGTAGGCGGTTCAGCAGCTTTAGGGGATTTGAAAGATGCTTCCATTTAGTAATGACAATGTCAACCCGGAAGAGGCCGAGCACCTCAAGTCTGTGTATCTCCTCTGCTAAGATACAAAGCTTCTCTTATCATTGAACATGGCGTAACAATTATTAAACCGTATGTCTTGAGAGCGTGTGATGTCATCAACACATCGGAGTAACACCTGTTACTTCATCAACTGTCACCTTCCATAACCGCGAAGTGGCCTTTGTGGTGACATTACAGTGGACTCAATAATGACAAACTGCTTAGCGACCAAGGAGTTGTAGCAAGAAGCGAGTGTGGTCTTGAAGACCCTGATATTGACTCGTGTACTGTGGTCGGGTTCGAAGTATACAGGCAACCAATAACAGGATGAGCCAAGACAAATTCCCGATACTTAGTGCTTTCTTCCCTCCCACTGCAGTATTCGGTCAAAATATCATCAGCAGTACTGTACTGCACCCCTTGAAGTATTGCTATTTTATATCTCCGTCTGATTCAATCCCCCCAAAAGCCAATCAATCCTTTCATTTCAAATATGACTACGCCCCCTATCCTCCGTTTGATTCCAGCCGTAACCCCGAAGTCCCGTGTCGCATCTCAGCTTCCCAGGCGGTACAGTCTTCAGATAACCTGCAACGTGAAGCCGAACGCTTCCAACAACCGGGAGGGCATCGTCGACGTAAGTGCAGACCGGGTTTCTGTATGCGTCGCCGCATTGCCCCGGAACGGCGAGGCAAATGCAGCGGTCTCTCGCATTGTCGCACAAGTAATTGCCCCTTCGGATTCTTCCACTTCCCTGTCTAGCGTGCTCGCTCGTCGCATACATAGTACAGTGTTTGATCTGTATGATATCAACTAACAAGCTCAGGCGTTCAAAGTGCCCAAGTCAGATGTGGAAGTAATCCGTGGGCTCAAGTCGCGCGACAAGACCCTCAGCATCGCTAATTTGGAGATCGGATCCCAATCCGAAGACGAATACATTCAACAGGCACTTGAGAGGCTGAGAAAGGCATTAATTTGATCGCTCTTCAAATCTCTGGTGATTGAATTGTCTCCGACCGGTAACTTTAGCTGCCAGACACATAGCGGGAACGGCGATCGCGCCCGTGACATCACGGAGGACGGGAAACTCCCCGACTATTTTTTATCCTCCGATTGTACCGCAGTTCAACAGTCTTCACCGAACCTACTTTCCAACGAAAAGGACCCCAAGGTCATCTTTCAACTACCTTGCCTTCCGAACCATTCTCAACATCAGTCGAAATGTCCACCACGTCACAATCTCAGCCAGCACAACCGGAGAGCGCGAAGCGCAAAGCCCCGACCGAGCCAACCTCCTCCGCACCAACATTGACATTCACCACGCGCAATCCCCTCTGGACCTACCTCAAGCTCCAATTGTATGTTCCTCTCTGTCCTCTCCTCTACTCTAAGAAATTCGTTCATCAATTGTATTACAGAACGCATCAGCCCCCCGTCTCCCAGTCAACCCTCACCCAACCACTCGACCCTCTCACAGCGCGCACCTACCTCTCCGCCGCACTCAACCAATTTCTCGGGCTTTCCGGCACGGCCATCTCGATTGATATACTGAAGATCGACCCTCCCACCAGCACAAATGCCAAGACAATCTGGATTCGAGTCCCCGCACCGGATGCATCAGCCGTCGTCGCGGCACTGAGTTCGTGGGTCGGGGGTGGCGGGCCGTCGGGCGACGCGAGTGGTGCTGGCAATGTTGCCTGGCGGGTTTGTGCCAAGGGAAACTTCCTCCAGGCGCTGGTGAATGGCTCCGGCGCAGAGATGTTCGTGCCGTGAGTGTCTGAACTCGGTATAGCTTTCTTGACTTTGTTCACCCAAGGAGAGATCTGAACCATCGACTTGAGGTTGGACTTCGCATGCAATGCATTACCTGCCGAAGTGCTGCGTGCTCGGTGACTGAGGCAGCGATCATTCCGGTTACTGGAGCTGGAACCGTGGTCTACACCAATCGCTCGGCCATCTCGGGGCTTGCCTGAATCTCAGACACACAGCGGTTCCGGCACGAAGCCTAACCTGTGGATATTGAATGGTCGCGTGGTGGTTTTGTTGGTGACTTCCATGCAGCAGCAGCTCTTCTTTTGTCGGACTCGGACTCGGCTCAATCCAACAATAGGCAAAGGGCTGAGGTGGAAGTTCGGTAGATTGGGTGGGAAGCAGATTGTCTGCAGTTGGAGCAATCGACTCGAGCGAGATGTATATAGGTCACTTGCGTCATTGGTTGCTGAGGAGGGATGGGAATATGGTGCCGATTGTAGACGCTCACAGAACTCCCGGTCCTTGGCTGGCACTAGGTAGCCAATATCTACTCCCGTCTCCAACCTCAAGATGTACCCCGGCATATCCTCTGCTCTTCCATACCTGTAAGACTAGCTCGTACATGGACCGACATCTCACCACCCTTCAATTAAAAAGGTTCAATTTCGCTGCACAAGCCTAACTGCAACCATACGACTGTCTATACAATTCCTGCGAGCTCTGAGCTCTTGCTCCAAGGCATGACTAATGAATCAGATAATACTCCAAAGGTGCCCCTGCATGGCACGCGCACAGCCCGCAGGCGAGAGTCAGTGCAACCCGATACTTTGTCCATCCTTTCAGCCAAGTCGGCCGCGCAGGCCTTATTCGCCCCCTCAATACGCGACAGGTGGTTTTTACTCTAACGTTGAATCAGCCTTGCGAACACCGATATTAGGCACCACACCAGCACGATTACCCATTCTGAGTAACTTAAGGCGGCTGCTGTATGTACCATGACCTAGGTATATTACGAACGTTCTTCATGAACCGCACCCCACAAAAACCTTGCAGTCCCTGAACGAGAGATCAAAGAGTTTACCTATGCAATGCACCCTGTCGAGTCGAGACCCATCCATTCGCCTAGTTGACCTCAAAACTTGAAACGAGACAGCACAGCGTGACTGTCGTACTATGTATTTGCAGAGGTGGGTGTGTGGTAGGTTAATTGAGAAGTAAGACTTGGCAAGGGGGAAAGGAAAATCAGGGGTTGATGTGACTGACTGAATAACGCCCGAAGCATGGCATGGCATGGGCTTGGCTTACCAACGAGAACGGCGCAAGCCACTTCATGCAGGCTTACGGGATGATGAAACGGATGTTTGATGTGGGTGAGAGAGTTGATCTATCATGTAAGATCATTGTCCCCCCTCCTCAGACTCTCTCGCACAGAATACTAATCGCTGCTGCATTTCAAGGGATCCGTATGTTTTGGGCCTATTGCATTTTCGAAGGACTGAAAGAAAGTCTACCCCGTACCACCTGGTACTGCACAGTCAACGCATTGGTCGTCTTCCGAGCCAATTCCCCATGAACGGAAGTCTAGTTATTGCGGCTATAAGGATGCTACTATTTTTAAGGGTCCCGGACTCTCTCTCGGAGTACACCGTATCGAAGCTATTGCCAAGGGTACTTTATTATTGGACCGATGCAGCTCAGTTTCATTGTCTTCCCTGTAAAGATGGGTCGGCGATGGAACCTATTTTCGGGGGAAATATTACGAGGCTTGCCCCTGCATCAAGCCATGGCGTCGGATTCGGGTTGTTTTTGCCGCCACTCCCGATGATTGCCTTTTCAAAGGGCTGAAGATGGTGGAAGTCATCGAGTAGAGGAGACTACTCCTCTCTTGGAGTTATGCGAGGATCTGATTCTATGGCACAGAGACTTCCTCGATGCACAACAAGAATAGTGACAGTCCGGACGGATGAAGGAGGCGCAGGGGACGGGAAGATGAAGAATTGAATTGGCCAGCCCGCCAGTGAGCCAGTGTTTCAAAAACCCGACGGTCTGGCCTTTTGACAACCACCAAATCAACGAATCACGGCGGGCAGTGCGATGGGGCGGCAGTAGCCGTTCTGAACCTGTGAACGGATGTGACGTTTTGGCCCGCGTGGCGTGGGTGCGCCAACTGGCCAATCTCCCAATGGCCTACCAAATCCTCCTCCGGCCAGATGCCGATCGCCCTCGCCTTTGCCCCGCTCTGTTCCAACTGTTGTCAACTTGTTACCGCGTTCTTTTGGGTCTTGGGGAAGTTCCTCCATTGCCCTTGGTTTATTTGCATCGGCAGTGGCTGTACAGCACAAAAAAGAGGAGACAGAATACACGGTACCGTCCCCGTATTGTACGAGTACGCAAGCCGTACACGTACTTGACTGACTGACACTTCTTCTCGTCCATGGTCCAGAATACACCCTATTTGCGTTTGTTTCTCACTATAATTTTTTCTTTGCTCCAGACTAGAGCTAATGTGCGACCAACGCTTAAATTTAGTAGTTCCTCAACTCATATTAAGCGTCGATTCAGCTCCCAACCCCCCCTCCCCAGATTTCATTCCCAAATCTTCTTCCTTCTTCCTTCGTCTCACTCCTGACTTCGTCGATGTTCGGGGTGTTTTCCTTACTGAGTTACTCCATCCCTCGCTATTCACTCCCATAGTCAATTCAACTAGTCGACTACTCTCCTGTTTTCGGTTTCTCTGTGGAGCCAGTTCATCGTCCGTCTCCCAAGGCAGGTCCTTTGTGTGCGAGCCGTATAATTCCTACTGTGCATCGTCTTTGTTCCTCCTCCCTCGAATTCCTCTTACACCCCATCACCACCAGCAACCATGTCGGAAGAAGCAGGACATCAGGAGCCGCCTCCTGTCGCGCCGGTCCAAACTGCGAAGAATGAACCCTCCGCCAATGTACAAGAGAAACCATTCCGGCCGGGGCGCCTGACGCCACGCCCCAGCTTCCTCGAGAACCTCGCCAACTCCCGCGACAGACAATTCATGCTTGATCGACGCAATTCGAGTGAACTCAATCGATACTTTGTATGTCGTCGATGCAGTGACGCGCTACTTCTGACCCGTGTGGGAAGCTGGGAAGCTGACTGCAGTGCATAGCATGGCCCCCGCGATCTCGATAGACACTCCAAATGGCCCCTCGCCTTCCGGATGCATGGCAGTATCATGCCCAAAATGATCCTCCCCCTGTTCTTGGTTGCCCTCTGGGCGACTGCTATCACCTGCATCTCCCGCTTCGTACATTCTCGTGAGTTGGCCCTGTGAATGTGCTGAAAGGTCGTTTCTAATAATTGGGTGGTTAGTTGGTATCAATAGTATTCTGCTCACAGTCACCGGTTTCGTGGTCAGTCTGGCGCTTTCATTCCGCAGTTCTACTGCCTATGAAAGGTAAGTTATGAAGCATTGGATGTCGGCTTGATGTCACGGAACTAACGGTATGGCAGATGGGCGGACGGACGCAAATACTGGGCATTGCTGATCCAGACCTCCCGCAACCTCGCACGGACAATCTGGGTAAACACAGCTGAGCGCGAGGGGGAACTAGGAAAAGAGGATCTACTGGCAAAGCTGTATGCTGCCCGAATTTAAAAAGTGAGGAATGCATATGCTAACTTTAGTAGGACGGCTTTCAACCTGATCCTCGCCTTCGCCGTCGCCCTCAAACACAAGCTGCGCTTTGAGCCTGATGTTGGTTACGAAGATCTGGCAGGCCTGATTGGTCATCTCGACACCTTCGCCAAAGAGGCACACGACCGTCAAGTCCTGCAGCCCCCGAAGAAGTCTCTGTGGAAGGAAGTCGGTGAATCACTGGGCGTTTCGTTTGCAGAGTCCAACCCACGCAAGCTCATCAAGCGGACCAAGAAACCTTTGGGACATCTGCCGCTGGAGATCCTGAACCACCTGTCCGCCTACATTGACCGCTGCATTGGAAACGGAACCTTGACCTGCGGTCTTCACCAAAGTCAAGCCAGTACGCAATTCCGCCTCCCTTACACTCGTGTGCTTTCAAGCTAATGTCCTCCAAGTCAACGGTATCTCCAGCTTAAACGAATGTCTGACCGGAACGGAGCGTGTCCTCGATACCCCTCTTCCCGCCGCATACACCATCTCCATCGCGCAGATCTCCTGGATCTACGTCATGGTTCTTCCCTTCCAGATGTACAACTACCTGGGCTGGGTCACCATTCCCGGCTCTATTGGTGTGTACTAATCCATTGGCTGCACCCAGAACTCTACTGACTCACAACTTAGTCGCCGCATACATCATCCTCGGCCTTGCCTTCATCGGCAGCGAAATCGAGAACCCCTTCGGACACGACGTCAACGATCTGCCCCTGGAGACCTACTGCCGCCAACTCGCCAACGAACTCGACATCATCTCCGCCATGCCCCCGCCCAAGCTGGACGAGTTCGGCGTCCGCGAGGATAACTTTGTGCTCTTCCCGCTGAGCACCTCCGGCTACAACGAATGGAAGGAACGTTCCGTCGACGAGATCCGCGCCGCGCTGCGGTCGAAAGTCGTCGCCAACACGGACCCAGCAGGGTCGGAGACGACGACCATGGTTGGGAGCATGAGTAGCAAGCAGTCGTCGGTGTGAGAGCCCTGGTGAGGCGTTCAAAATGGCGATAGAAGAGTTTCGTGGTGCATTCATCATTGCAATGAGGGGGCGAGCCAAAATTCGGGATTGGGCGTCTTCGTTTTTTTTTTTTTTTTCAAGCATGCGAGTCTGGTGTTTTTGTTGTTAGGCAGGGTTTGCCTTCTGATGGATGGATGGGTTAGATGTCTGTATGGATTGGAATGTCTTCGGGTTAATCTTTTTGTTCCATATTCGGGCTTGGAAGTTGTTGCATCGATTCATCTGTGTAGCCTGTGTAGCCTGTGGATAGAGGCGTAAAATCGGGTCCATAGAGTCTCAATTCACTCACATAGCCGAGCTTGGATCAATTGGTCTGCAGACTGGCTCGATCGCTCTCTCTTGGGGAACTGTTCTCTTGTCCGATGTCCGACTCGACACACCCTGCTGCAACCGTGTGGATCTGTGCACAGTCGTCTGACTGTAGGTGTGGGTGGAGTCCAAAGTCTAGTGTGCTGGAATCTCCCCACTGACCCAGTTTCCGTACTTAGTAGATCTGACATACAGATTACAGTAGCGCAGTGCACCTCATGGTCCACAGTTCCACCCCCAGGGCGGCTCCTCCCATCGCTCTCTGGTCCATGCGGCTGTATGATCCCGTAAGGCCGAGCTCGGAAGATCGATATACTTATGTATGTATACAAGCAGGGAAAGGTCTACCAGAACATATTCCCCTGCCATCCATCCACCTCCATCCTCCATCATCAACCCAGACATCCTTTACACATTCCACTCCGTTGGATTCCCTTGTCGTCCCCCTCCGCACCTGTCAGCCACTGCTGCCTACGGTACGACCCATACCCTACCACTCAATCATGCAACAGATGATGACATCCGGACCCCCCGTTGAGCGGAACACACCCATAGCCGAACCCCTGCATCGAGGGGGTCGTCTCACCTGATTACCATACTTGCCTATTGCCTGTTGCCTAGAGCCTATTGCCTACGGTACCCTTAGGGTCCAGCAGACCCCGAGCGTGAACTCAACTCTCCTTCACGATCCAAGGGGGCCAAGGGTGGATCGCTTCCCCATTGCGATACCGAGGGGCGTCGATTTACGGTGCTGGTCCCTTCATCCCAGGGTGCTATCGAAGACCGGAAAAGCCAGAGCCCAAGGGTGGAAATGTCGACAGATGTGCGGGGTAAGCAGTTTAGATCTGAACGCCACTTGCCGAGGGAGGAACAAGCTATATGTGTGTCGGAGTTTCTCCAGAATCGAGTTCCAGTCTATTGTTATCTTCTACCTTGGTTGGCCTTTTCTTCTTTACTGCATTTTGAGGATCGCAGTCGTACAACTCCATTCTGCCTACGATCCAGAATCATGGCTCCATTGGTGACTGCCTCGGACCCTAACCCCGACCCGATCAAGCCCGGCAAGAGACCCGACGTTCCACCGCAGCTACAGGTCCTCGGCAAGACCAAGGATGGCAGGGACCTGAAAGTGCGCCGATACCCCGAGTTCCAGAGCCTGGAGGACGAGCGCGTATACCGGAAGCAGCACCTGGCGGCGGCGTTTCGTCTCTTTGCGGATCGGGGCTTCGACGAGGGTGTGGCGGGCCACATCTCCGTTCGCGATCCTATTCTCACTGATCATTTCTGTAAGTTTTGAGGCTGCTACGGCTTGGGTGTGTCTGCGGCTGTTGACGCGTACGGGAAACTCCCTAGGGATCAACCCCCTCTCCGCACACTTCTCGCTCATCAAAGTCTCCGACCTGATCTTGGTGGACGAGGATGGCTTGGTTGTCGAGGGCGATGAGCCCATCAACGCCCCCGCGTTCGCCATCCACTCGGAGATCCACAAAGCCCGACCGGATGTGAACGCCGCGTGCCATGCCCACAGCGTCGCCGGTAAGGCCTTTTCGTGCTTTGGCCGCGGGCTGGAGATGATCACGCAGGACGCACTTCGGTTCTACAAGAGCCATGGCGTCTACCGGGACTTCAAGGGTGTGATTCTAGACCGGGAGGAGGGCCAGCGGATCGTGGCTGCTTTGGGTGGCGGCAAGGCGGTGATTCTGCAGAATCATGGCCTGCTAACGGTGGGGGAAAGTGTTGATGAAGCGGCATTCTGGTTCATCAGTCTGGACAAGACCTGCCAGGCTCAACTCCTGGCCGATGCGGCATCCGCAGCGGGGTACAAGAAGATCATTATTGACGAGGAGGAGGCGGCTTATGCGGCCTTGCAGGTTGGGGGGCCGGAGAAAGGATGGTTGGCTTTTCAACCTTACTATGACGAGCAGGTTGCGAAGACGAAGGGTGAATTCCTTCTGTAAAGTGATTCGGATCATATGATGGGCCAGGGATGTCTGGCGGTTAGGCGCAAACAACCCCGCCGGACGATAGAGCCATGTCGGAATGGAGTACGGTCCACTTTCCAAGCCTATTGCTCAGGAGGGAGCCGGTTGACGAGCCAGCTGTCCATCATGATCATCTCCAATAGTGCGAAGGATACAGGGGGGTCAACCCTTGCTTTCATTGCTAGTGACATTAGGATGAGCCATTTCCTAACAGCTGTCAGGAAAAAGAAAGAGCATCACAAGTTGAAGCTGTGGTCATCAAAAGCAATTCCGTGGTACTGCATCCTAAATTGCTGTAAAAGGTTGATCAGAGATATCAATAAAGTATATATGCCTATAAAGTCGTATGCTGACCTGAGCAGTACCGGTAGATCCTCAAAGACTTATTTGCCTGAGCACCAGCTCTTGCTTTTCCGACGTCATGATCTGGCCCGGTTCCACGATTGTGGTTAAGGTTAGGATCCGATAACGGCATACCGTTGGACTTCACCCAACTTTGAGACCACACAGACCCTTCATTCTACTCATACATGTATAGGGATCGCTAGTGGTCCATCGTAGTGGCAAGCGATCGCCATCCACGAGCCAGAGCCGAGGAAACCCCATTTAGAAAATTGTTGAATGGGTGTTCGACCGGGCAGCAGCACGCCCCACCCGCAGGGTGAACTCTTGCCGGAAACGGAAAGACTGAATAATCAGAATCGGGTGCTGCAGCTGGGGAGAACTTCCACCGAGTCAATCTGCCCTGGATAGTCTCTCTCACTCCAACTGCATGGTGAGAAGGCAGCCTGATGCTGATATAGGTTGTCGAATAGGGACATAGGAGCTGGTGCCACGGTCAGCCTACCGTGGCGGACGATCTGTCTGTCGAACTCCTTGTATAACCTACCACTAGGGCAGAATGCAAACTGATCAGCGCTGTGCTGATACACCTACAGTATGGTGTCACACCTGAGCTGACAATCAAACAACGTGCAGTCACCCTGAAACCGAGGTTTGAAGCTAGCTCTCGAGTTTCTGAAGCGGTTGATGCCTTCGAGAACGAAAATAACCCTTCTCAAGGGTTACTAGAAACAGACAATGCACAAGACAATGCAGCCGTGTCTGTAAGCGCAGCGGGCACGCGTCCAGTCAGGCAGGGTCATGGCAAACATTGCTGGGACCATCCGCCCAAAGCATTCGTCAGTTCAAACGCCTGATAGTCGGAAGCTGTATCCCCCCCGGATGAGCGGACGGGTACTCTTCCACCTTATAGGAACCAGTACCAGCCTGCGATCGAGGCATCCAGCCTACAAGAGTGTGGCGTACCCTCCATGGTTCGACTGCTCCCGATGGTTCGATAAAGCTTATCGCGGTGGCTGCCGGCACTCTCTGCCAAAACTTGCCGGATGACCGCAGGGCAGGTGAAAGCTTCCACTTGACCAAATTCAGGGAAGGGATCAGGAGACAGATCTGTCATCACTAATGTCAAGAATTTGTCATTGTGACCGAGTGGTATGACTGCCAGCTGTGCGGGCAGGGCCAGGTCCTCAGAATTTCGGGTTCGCACTATTTCGCAAGGCTGGAAGATCATTGAGGTTTAAAACTTTAAAGCAGGCTGCGGCCCATGATTGTCACAGCCGTGTATCTGATGGAGTAATTCGCTCCACTTGTGCTCTGATCGGTAACCCGTTTTAGAATCCCATCTTTAGCCCCTTCAGGTAGGGTGGATCTGATGAGGTGTTCGTACGGTCGCTGGGGTTGTCTGCGAGTATCTACTCATACTACTCAGGAGGTATATGTTTGACCTCGTTGTAGAGGGTTCAGTGTGTCGTAGGCACCTGTTCAATGCCAAGTCGAGTTTCGAAGTCTTCTTGCGTACTATTTGATTGGCAATTCAGGGGGGAACGATCTGCTTTCAGCTTGAACGAAAACCATGTCTTGTGCGGAGTAGACTTGACAGAATAACAGAACACATGGACAAATGGAGTGAGTGACAAGGTATTTTCTGCATGCTGCATGGTGGATGCAAGATGCAGGAACGAGTGCATGCCATGAGGATGGCAGCACAATTGCCGATGACAGACGCAACGTATGCAGCAGGAAGCACATGTATAGTGATCAGTGTGAACTGTGAAGGTACTGTACCTAAGGAGGTAAGGTAGTATTCAGAGTACGGGGTATCCTCCGTAGTTTGTAGTAGCGTTTCAGCTGCTTGGTGGAATTGAAGATTGTACCGAGGAGATGAGATTGTTGTCTGGATGCCCAGTGTCTGCGGGGCAACCCTTTCCTCATCCGGAATCTGTCTCGAGCGCCACCACACTACATCCCGCTTAAATGAGGAGACACCACGAGCTCATGTTCAATTGTGGATTAGTTATGGATTGTGGAGCAATATTCCTTCCCTTCCTCCTCCATCTCCTCCCACCTCCATCACATCGGATTTCACATCCACCAAGTTAACCCAGTTGGAGGCTGACGGATTCTCGTTGGAGAACCCCTCTGAATAGCCAGCAAATGAACCCCTGTCCGCAAATTTCAGGTCAGTTTCTTGACTATGGGTGAATAGACTTTGGCACCCTGGTTCACGCTGACCATCTAGACTTGGGCCGGTGAATAATGGCTCACTCGCTACAAGCATTAGATCAATTCCGCCGGCATGTGGAGCAGAATGTGAACGACGGTTCAACGGATCTGCCTGTTGCTGTCCTGTGCACCCCGTGAAACCCCCGGCGATTCTCTCTCTCTCCCAGTGGCTCCCCTCCTCGCTATTGTCTGGCCGATACTACCCCATTGTGGAGTCAAACCCACTGTCTTCATTGGAGGACCTTGACTTGTTTCTCAGCTTTGCTGGGATCGATCTGAAATTGGTTGCCCCCAGCCAAAGTCAAAATGTCAAGGTGGGCTGGCTACTGGCAATTCATGGTTGGAGAAAGGGACCAGGACCTGAATCGGCGGCAGTTCAAAGAGCTGCGAGTGGGTACCTCATTCCTGGCTATATTATATCCCCTGTCGCCCTCCCATCATCGATGCTGTCAACTAGCAAGTGGCGTCAGTGACTCGGACTCAAGTCTGTCATTGCGATAGATTCTCGCTTCACGTTACCCTCTCAGTGATAATCGGATCGTGATTATGGCCAATGTGATTAGCAACTATCTGTCCGGGGTTGCTGGTGATTATGCTTGAATTCCAACTGAACGATCGCATGTTTGAACAACCCTTCGCTCCATCAAAATAATTCAGCAACTGAACCCCACTCGAACCTTGATTCGAATAACCTCGTCCTAACATGCGAATTCCACCCGCCAGTGTCCTGGCGACATGGCCCACGCCTAACTATGTCGACCCTGTGACTCGTGGAAACTATGTGCTTATCGTGAGCGTTGTCCTCCTCAGCGTCGCATTCGTTGTCACCTGCCTCCGCCTCTATACGCGTTTGAGGATAACCTGCACCTTCGGTTTCGATGACATTCTCATCATTTGGGCCCTTGTGAGTATCAGATTGCGAAACTCGTAATACCTAGCTGCTGACTATCGTGCGTCAGGCTTTCGCAATTGGAATGTGCGCTGTAACATCTATAGCAACTGAAAACTACGGTTGGACCCGACACATCTGGGATATTCCACCTTCTTGGCTGCCAGCTGTCAACAAACTCAACCTGGCATTCCAAATGCTCTTCTCCTTGTCTTCCAGTATCACAAAGCTTTCTTTGTTGTGGTTCTGCAAGCGTTTACTTGGAGCCGGAAGCAAAGGCCTATATTCCTCTTACAATATTGTGCTGATCATTGGCATGGTCATCGTGCTAATATGCTGTCTTCTATTTCTCTTCATCTCCATCTTCCAATGCTCGTGAGTTTCCGCCCTAAGACGCTCTCATCACAAGCGCATCTTACCGTGAATACGTACTAATGATTTAGGCCTATACGCGCATACTGGGAAGTGGCACCCACATACCCCTTCCATTGCCTCAACGACGGTGCTGCTGTGTTCTCAGCCAGTGTCGTGAACATTTTTACTGATTTCCTCACCACCGTTCTCCCAATGCCATTGATCTGGAATCTGAAGATGCCTGCTCGACAGCGAGTTGCTGTTATCTCAATCTTTGGATTGGGAATCGTGGTTAATGTGGCTGGCTCCATCCGGACAGTTTACGTCTGGAAGAGCATGGTGGCTTCATATGATACTACTTGGGTGGGCTGGCCTGTCCTTCTCGCTGCTTCAATAGAGATCAGCATGGGCTTGGTATGTTATCATCTCTTCCTGACTGATTCAATTTTGTCTGACTCGTTTAGATCTGCGCTTCTGCCCCTGCGTTGAGGCCCCTTGTCACCTTCTTTTTGCCCCGTCTTCTCCAGTCCAGTCGCCGCTATGCATCATCTTACAGCCGGAAGAGCCTCCCACCAAAGGGATGGTCTTCGAGCGCGCCTACCAAAGAATCAAGAATTGAAGATCGACAATATGGCTATCAAGGCGACACCAATGTCGATCGGTTCGAGGTTTTGCGTACGGTGGAGATGGAGACTTGGTCTGAGATCAAGAAGCCTGGGCATGCCGACAGCAACCAGCCCTCGTCAATATCGAACCATATGCGGGTTGCAACACCTACACATCACGTGGAATTGAAGAACCACGGTGTGGTCTACACGTCGCCTGGTAGCGACAAGTCTACTGCTTCCCTTACTCGAGATTTAAACTCAAACACCGAACGATCGACGACTGACCGGTCGACAATTGATGATAAGAACTTCTTCTAGTTCTTTCTTCGATTCGATTAATTTTCTTACTATGTCTTCATACAACAGACTTTCTGCCATTACGATGATAATGCTTAACGATCGTAATCGTGTTCAACACATGTACGCATCATGTCTACGCACAGCGCCGTGCACTTCTGGCAAGACCCATTCCTTTTCTTTTTGTATACAACGATTTATATCTACATTCTGTGTGTAAATTGAATTTTATAACACCCAAGTTATGCGCTCGCCATGACGAAGCGACTCCAACCTCAACTTGAGCGATGTCTATTCAAATTACTTGCAGCTGGCGAAGTGCTAGAAGTGGGTCGATGGAGCAGCTCCGCAATCGGATCCCGCACTCCCCACCTGGCACTCTGACTCGGTCACTCGAGAGGTTCAGCTTGGTTGCCAGATTGGCCTGACCGGGCCGGCACTGCATCGCGTAGACTACCTTCTTCGGGCTAGTTCAAGGAACACATGCCGGCCTCACCAGATGCGGGCATACTAATGCAGGCACCAAGAGGTGCTTACGTGTTTTCCTTTAGCAACCCTGCTTCTCGAATCTCCGCGTCGCTCTTCCCTCCGACACTCGACTGTCGCGTGTCACACAGTAACTTCGAATAGACAATTCCATTGTATTAAAGCCCGATCTTGGTATCGCATTGTAGAACATACTAGCAGGGGTGTATGCACGTGTGGAACTTAAGAAGATGGCTGTCAAGCAAAGAGCAATCTAGACTTCCTCGTGGACTCCGATGCGATAGATTAATCCTCCGTACGCCAGGGATTTCTATCTTCTGTACCGCGGACCGGTGAAATACTGTGTCCCCCAGTTAGCTTTATCCCTTTGAGTTTAGTGCTCTAATACTGGCACTGTCATGTCACGGCCCTTTTTCTCAGTCCGATACACTGCCTTTTTTTATTCGACCGAAGAAACTGCTTGGTCACAGTGCAGCGTGGTAAAGGCATCCCATCGAATGCTAATGTTGTGACGTCCTGTAGGCCTGGGGAATCACCCGCCCTGTTTCCTCACCTAACGAGTCTGTCTGTCAAAGGCTCTCTTTTCTTCCCCCTTCATATGCCTCAGGCCCCGTTCTCGCAGTTCGGAAAAGAAGCTGAAGGCGGCGTCGAACGTATCGAGAGATGTCCAGCCATCCCGTTTCACAAAGCCTTCGATACTGTCAAAGAACTCCTGGACCTCGTTCCAGCCCTTGCCATCGCCGGCGTGGCTATGTAGTTGCGTGAAGTGATAGGGACATTCGCCTTGGATGCCGAGTTCTGGCCAGTGTCTGAGATGAAAGATCAGATTCTGTCCAAAAAGGGAAGATGATACCTTTCCACGTTGATGAGTGCCTCACGGAAAGAGGCGATGTCATCATCCCAAATTGCCGGGTCGTTGAAGGGGAACGCTGTCTGTGTAGTCCACGATCGGAGAGGGTTGGGATTGAAGGAAGAGCGGCCCTGCCCACAAGCCCTGCCAGTCGATGACAGCCGTTATACGGCCATCGTCAACAAACAGATTCGATGAATGAAGGTCTCCGTGCCACAAAATGGGGCGAGTGAGGACGGGGTCAATGTCCATCATAGCTGGAGCCACTTGGAGATACTTCTCCAAAAGCTGCAGATGTGCATGTGGACTATTTTGGGCTGAAGAGATTAGAGTAGCTTCGCTCAATGGTTTTGAGATGACAAAACGTTTGATCCACTCCAGTTCACGCCGGCCAACACTTCGCGCATATTCTTGGGGTGTACGCCCTGATAGAAATCAAGACAAGAAACAGTGCGAAACAGCAGTATGGAAATGCTTACAAGGACTCCGCGGGATCTGCATCGACGAGCGTTGTTTCTTCCAGAAGCTGCGTTCGACGGTAAGCCCAATACTGAACTTCTTGCAGACTCTCTCTCTTTCAGTTCGGAGGAAGCGCTGTTGGTAAGCGGCGCTGGAACTGCGCTTTCCACTGCATCGTTCGCGAAGAATATACTACCAAAGCTGACAAGTTGATCAGATTTCGCACACGCATTTGTCAGTTAAACGGTTTCAACATACTGAGAAAACGACACCGCCAGCATATTTGACTCGAGCGTCACTATCTCCCGCATAATGGAGAGCTTTTTGTCCAGATTCAGCTGATCCCAGATGACTCCAAGCTGTATGCCAGATGCTTCTTCCATAATAATGTATTCCGAGCCAACGGCGTTGTTTGACGTGGCACTCCAATCAAGGACTCTCGGCACGGGGATTTGAAGGACATCTCGGGCCTGGGATCGAGCATGAAGTGCACGACGTCCCATGTCAATATTTATTTACTAGTGTATGGTTGCGAACAATTCGAAAGGACATATCGCTTGTTGTTTGTGGAATCGTACATGTGCATATTCTAGGTGATGGAAACACTGTAGTCAGGAAGCGCAATTAGAAGCTTTTCTGGGTTCAATGTCATCAACCAGTGGCAAGTACCGTGTGATGATTTGCTCTCTGACCCGATCGCAACACAATTTATCTCCGCCCGGATTCTGCGGGCTTTGCGGGCCGACTTTTGGGTCTCATTCAAGTCCACACAGAACTGTCTTCGCTAATTGCCACTTAAGAAAGTCATGCTAACGAAGCTTTGTTCTCATGTATGCAGTCCATACCCATTGTATCTTTATAGCAGTATGAAGTGAAGCCCGCATGCTCGTCGACGTTGCTTGCTTTGTTGAGGAACATTCCTTATCCTGCCTGCCAAGCCGACCGATAAGAATGATCTGGGGAACTGGAAGCTATCTCCAACTTCCACATTGCCGGGCTGCTGTTTTTCTCACCGCTGCAATTGTGAAGCCACCATTGCAAAGGGAAAGTCGTTCCGGAGGGAACACAGTCCGGACAGCATCGGACCGAATGATGAGCAAATGGATAATCGATGCTACTAATAGTCGAGTGATCAGGACTGATTGTGAGACTCCATTTTATCGGCGCATCTGCTGTATCGCCGAGCACGGGCATATCCTGGGTGGTGATTGGTGCAAATCGCCGAGGAGAGCTCTCTGGCGCGGGGCAGCTTCCGCCAGAGCTGCTTCTTTCTCCGCACCGAGGCCTGGTATTTAACCAGGCGCGCGGCCAAATTTGGAGGGGACTTTTTTTTGTTCTTGAATCCTCAAGTGTCAATTATCCTCTTGACTATCCATTGCAGCTCCATCTTGAATCTTCCCTGCGGATTGTCGACCATTAGGCTGGTTGGGCGATCTATCCTCTCCCCCCTCACTCCCTTATCTGTCGTCATCGCGTTATCATCCCTCTCCACTCCGCTTCTTTGTCCTGGTTGTGCCTGGCACAAGGGAGAAGATAATTCTACTCTTCACCAAAACCATCCATCAAACAATCCCCCTGTATATTCACAATGGCAGCTGTCTTCCGCTCCAGCCTCAAGCTTCGCACAGCGACTCGCCTTTCGGCAGTCCGCACCCTCAGCACCACTGCCCACCTGCGGGCTGCTGAGAAGCCGTTCTTCCCCGACGAGCCCACAGCTCCCAAGTTGGCCACTGCCATTCCCGGCCCCAACAACAAGGCTGCTGCTCAGAAGCTGGACCAGGTCTTTGATGTGCGCAGCTTGAACATGCTGGCTGATTACTACAAGTCTACTGGAAACTAGTATGCCTTTTGAGCCCCTCCGGGTTATCGCCCTGAATTATGAGTTAGTAGCTAATTTTCGACCGCAGCATCGCCGATACTGACGGAAACCTTCTCCTTGATGTGTAAGCTACCATACTTCCTCTGACCCTGACTTTCCCCTCTATACATTGAGTCGCATCTAACGTGGTTCTCGGCAAACAGCTACGCCCAGATTGCTTCCATCCCTGTTGGTTACAACAACCCTCACCTCCGCAAGGTGGCCGAGTCTCCCGAGATGGTCAATGCCCTGATCAACAGACCTGCTCTGGGTAACTTTCCCTCTCACGACTGGGCCGACATCCTGAACACGGGCATTCTCAAGGTCGCTCCCAAGGGTCTCAACCAGGTCTTCACTGCCTTGGCTGGTTCCGACGCCAATGAGACTGCTTACAAGGCTGCCTTCATGTACTACCGCCAGCGCGAGCGTGGTGGCGCTGAGAAGGAGTTCACTGAGGAGGAGCTGCAGACTACCATGAACAACCAGTCCCCGGGTTCCCCTCAGCTGTCGATTATGTCCTTCAAGTCTGCCTTCCACGGCCGTCTCTTTGGTAGTCTGTCTACTACCCGCAGCAAGCCTATCCACAAGCTTGATATCCCTGCCTTTGACTGGCCCCAGGCTCCCTTCCCCTCGCTCAAGTACCCCCTTGAGGAGCATGCCGCGGAGAATGCCCAGGAGGAGCAGCGCTGCTTGCAGGAGGTTGAGCGCCTGATTAAGGAGTTCCACAACCCTGTCGCAGCTGTTGTGGTTGAGCCTATCCAGTCGGAGGGTGGTGACAACCATGCCTCTCCTGCTTTCTTCCAGGGTCTCCGCGACATTACCAAGCGCCACAATGTCCTGTTCATTGTTGATGAGGTGCAGACCGGTGTGGGCGCTACTGGAAAGTTCTGGGCCCATGACCACTGGAACCTGACGACTCCCCCCGATATTGTGACTTTCTCCAAGAAGGCCCAAACTGCCGGATACTACTACGGAAACCCCGCTCTGCGCCCAAACAAGCCGTACCGTCAGTTCAACACCTGGATGGGTGACCCGGCCCGTGCCCTCATCTTCCGCGGTATCACCGAGGAGATCGAGCGCCTGAACCTAGTGGAGAACACTGCCATCACTGGTGACTACCTGTTTGCCGGTCTCGAGCGTCTTGCTAAGCAGTACCCTGAGCACCTGCAGAACCTCCGTGGTAAGGGCCAGGGTACCTTCATTGCCTGGGACTCTCCCAAGCGTGACGAATTTTTGGCCAAGGCCAAGAACGTCGGTGTCAACATTGGCGGAAGCGGCCAGAGTGCCGTTCGCTTGAGGCCCATGTTGATCTTCCAGAAGCACCACGGTAAGTCAATCGGCATCACCTAACAGGAGTAAGATGATCAGAGGCTAACATCATCTGCAGCTGATATTCTCTTGGAGAGCGTTGAGAAGATCATCAAGCAGCTGTAAAGCGGCTTAATTGTCTACCAACATATCTTCTCTATCTGATACATTTGTGATTGAAATCTGGCGTTCAGTGGTACATCGGGCGGGTCGGCAATTGATTGGGTTCATTTCTTGCGTTTTACTTGAGCCAAATTCAGCAGCGTATGAAGAGGATGAGTTGATGCCTTGTATTTATGTTAGCATCGAGAAATAGCAATTGGATGCCATCAGGAAGGCAACATTGAATATTCATCTAATCGGGTATCGAGCATTGTTCGGGGTTGATCTTCTGAACCTTTGAAAGCTCGTCTTTGGAGAAGTAAGAATCGACGAGCAACCCCGGCGCAGTAAAAAAAATCCAAGGGGCAAGCAACCATGTTTCCCGGAATCAATCGCATACAGTACGAGAAAAAACAACCTAACCAAAACTCCAGTGTTGTGCAACCGCGCAAGGAACAAAACAAAAAGAAGAAAACCACCTCCCCTTCCAGCCAGAGTCTCCAGGCCGCGCGCCTTCGTCGAATAGTAAATATTGGATCGAGTAAGCCGTTCTACGCCTCCTCTTCCCCAGTGCTACCATCCCTCCTATCGAAAAAAGACAGTCAGTAAGCTTCTGCAGCTGGCAGGACATTTCCCCAAAACACAAGACAGAGAGTGTGGAGCATACGGAATATACTTGATCCCCGAGTCCTCCAAGCTGGAAATGATCTCATCGGGAAGCTGCAACAGTCATTAGTCCCCAGAACCACCGGTGGTATGCGCCTAACTCACCGAACCGGTCACCTTGACGGCGTATGTCCCCGGGACATAGCTATCCAGCCGCTGCCACCGAGCCACCCAGCTGGTCGTGGGATCGCGGAGCGTCAGCAGGCCCTCGAAGACCTGGGATGTGCATTCTTGGATGGCGTCGTTGTTGCCGCGGAGGCCGAGGACATTGTCGCAGTTGGGGCAGCCTTCGCGCATGAATTTCTGTGAGGCGGTGGTAAGAAGATCATGTTAGCTTTGGAGGAGAAGTCCCTGTGTCTGTTTGTGGCGCGGGAGGCATATGGTGTGAAATGGGCTGTGCTGGTGAAAGAGAGCCTGGTTGGGGGGCTCTTGGGGTAGGGGTTGGGTTTTTGACTCACGCTGTGGAGTTGGACGAGAGAGCAGACCATGCAAGCGCGGAGAGTGCGCTGCTGGCTGGGCGCAACGTAGTAGGACATTTTCGTGTTGGGGTTTGCGTGAAGGTTGGTTGGTTGGTTGGTGGGTTGAGGGGGTCAACGAAGTGGGAGTGTCACTGAGCTGCTGGACTCCCTGCCAGAGGTGAGGTGCCCTTATGTGTGGTTTTTTTGTTTCTTTGTTGCCGGTCGAAGGCTGGGCTGGATTGAAGGCTGGTACGCTGTGGAGAAAACGGCGACAGGTGTGGGCACTTTGCTTTGGGGGGGGGGGGACAATGGGATTGATAGAGCAGAATGAATGGCGATAATGAATGAATTCCAGGTAAGTTCGTGGTTTGCGAGGCCCGGTGGTGATTGCAGGTTCTCGAATCGGACCGGGAGAGTTGCCAAGACCGGAGAAAACGGGCGGACATCAAATAAATCCTCGGAAGTTGCTTCATGGCCTTCATGGCCGATTGATTGACTGGCAGTTCACAGCTTTGTGGGAGATCAAAGATCTTTTATCAGTCGAGATTGCTTCTGGTCTTGTTTCATTCTCTTACATTGATCTCTATCAAATTGGGCACTGACCGAGAGTCCTTGCTGTCCCCTTTTTGTGTCGTGCTCACTGCATCATCATCGTTATCGTCGCCTCTCTTGTTCTCTCTCGCTCTCTTTAATTCTCCCCGCCTCTTCCCTTACAATTAATTTGTTCCCGCGTGCTCACCTGCCGAAAACCTCCCCCTGCCATCCACCTCATTCTTACCAGGCCACTTGCTATCCCACACACTCCTCTCACTTTATCAATACCCTTATTATTCTTCCGATGGCGTCCTCCGATCTCGAGGCTGCCACTGCGCTGAAGGCGCAGGGTAACAAGGCGTTCGCGCAACATGAATGGCCCGCCGCCATCGACTTCTACACACAGGCGATAGAGAAGTACGACAAGGAACCCACCTTCTTCAGTAACAGAGCTCAGGTATGTCGCGCTGCTGTCGTCAACAGTCTCGCCA